CATGATAATTATCTCGCCCGTTTGCCATCTCCCTGCTGTACAGCACGCAGGATAGAAGCCAATCTCCCCAAATCCACAAACACAGGCTATAGAAAGAAAAATCCTGCCAGCTCTCTCATCGCTGGCCACAAAAAGCACCGGCCAGTTGTCCTTGCGATGGGGGTGAAACCCCTGACGTGCCTCCAAGAACCGCCAGAGCTGGCTGCGAGCTGTAACCTGGCCGCAGACTAAAAACTCCACGTCCTGTTTAGCTATTTTTGTCGAGTGCTTTGTTGTTTGGCAAAAATTCAATAATAAGCAATAATTTGGCCAACACCACCTGCCTAGAGGAGTGAAAAAAAAGTTAGCGGGAAAGAATGGAAACGCGGACAAGCTGCAATGCAGCAGCAGCCGGGATCAACAGCGGGAAACTCTCCTCCTAATGCAAAATAAAAAAGCAACCAAAACCTTGGAAGATTGAAATAAGAAAAAAGGACCGACCCTACCTATGAGATGCAACATCTTAAGAGTTAATAACACTTCTCCTGCTTTGTATTACCATGCTAAGAGAAAAACGCAGGTAAGAAGCACTCCAGCTATCGCATCAGACGCGGCAGCAGCGAGGAACAGGCTTGCAGGCATCCACACAAAGACGTCACTCTCCAGGATGCCACGCTATTAAATATCGAGGACCAGCACACCCACGTCCCCCCGCCTCGGAACCAGATCCCTGGTTGCCAAAGTGTTTTCTCTAGGAGGTTTGCAATGACTCAAGGATAACCTCCGCGTCTGCCAGGAGCCTTCCGTAAGAAGCGGAACGACAGTTTGAAAACCGTTTTCATTTGTTCGTTTTCATCCCATTACTCCTAGATGCGCAACCTCTGGCTATTTCAAGGCTCAGAAAGCTTCATTAGCAGCTCAGTGCAAACATCTGAAGAGTTCTTGTCCTCAACACTGCTCCCCAGTGGCAAGAGTCAACGATTTTCTCTTCAATCTCTGCTCGGTTTCCTGATGGCAGGGCTCAAAGTAACGTTCCTGCATTTGGATTAGAGAAAAATACTCCGGCGCAACACAGAATATCACTTCTCCTCTGGAGGGCTGGGGCAAGTGTTCCAGTTCCCATCCAGTTTATCACCCACCATCTCGATTAATGACTTTTTTTTTGGCCATTGATGCTTGTCAATTATTCAAAGAGGAGCCCTACATTTTATACCTCTCCTGCCTGTGATTTTTCCTGATCTGATGGAATAATTGCAATCCTCTCTCCATCCCTTCCCAATTCACCCCATCAATTAACACATTTCCTCAAGTGATTTTAATAATTCAGTCTTCGAGACAAAAATCTAATGCATCAAGTAGGAGCAAGACACAAAATCCAAACTCAAACTCAACCCAAAACCCAGCTCCCTCCTACCAAACCGCTCCTGCCTTATTTATCGGATAGATTTTCCAGAAGCTTTCCAGGTCACTGCAATTTATTTCTCCAACTATTCCATGGGCTGTCATTTTTTTTTAAATTTTTTTTCCTGCTGTCTCCCAGTTTCTTTTGCCTGTTGTCTTCCTGGGCAGTTCAAGCTCTTGCTCACCACCACTCCCAGTTTTGAAGTTAAATTTAAATGTAACACACACAAAAAACTGGAATTGCCAGGACAAAATTTGCTGCAGCATGTGTCCGGAATTGCAGCCAAAGATCCAAGTGGGCAGGAGGTCAGAAAAAAAATACACCCTCTATAATTAAATGTCTTCATATGAGATTAACCAAAAAAAAAAAAAAGTCATTAGAAATAAATGAGTCAAGTAATTCTGCAACACAAGTTAAATGGCAGTCATGAAAGAAAGAAAAACTGCACGGCCCAAGCTGACTGAACAAGATAATTATTTTAAGCCTTTTGCAAAATAAATTGCACAGAAGCTGAGAAACCTTCTGAAATGAAGTTTGTTAAAAAAAAAAAAAAACTCTTTGGCTCCTTCAAGGAAGTGTCAAAAAAAAAAAAAAAAGAAAAAAAAGAAGAGACGGTATTGTGTCCTTAACAGCAGTTTGAGAACAGAACAAAGCCAGAGAGAGTTTCAAAGCACAGCAGCTCTCCCCACTCTGCTGTTTGTTCTGCTCATAGGCAGACAAGCTCTTTCCTTTCATCTGGGAAAATTCACACAATAAGAAAAATACCTCAATAGAATCTGAGTCTGTAATAACAAAGCCCAAGGGGCAGCCAGAAAGAAATCTTTTGGCCAGTAAAAAATATTTGGTGTTCGGATCCGCAGAGAGAGCCGACTGCTTCTGGGCGTAGGGCATACGTACATCCTACCGCTGCCGGAGGAGGTCAGGGATTCAGGGAGGTTTTTCTCGTTCCCATCTCTCCTCCCCATGCCCAGATGAAGGCTGCAACCCTCGCAGGTCAGCACACAAGCCTGTGGAGGAAGCAGGAGCAAGGAGATAATAGGGAGAAGGAAGCACATGAAAGAATGCACACAGGGATGAAATGTGTCTCTGTAACACCCTCGAGGAGGAGGAAGAGAAGGAATTAAAAGCACAAGCGTAGGGTCCAACTTAAATTCAGAATCCGGACCTGTGGCAGCTACGCTGCGGGTCAGCAGACCCGGTAAAAATGTCTCTCTGAAATATTGTTTTGATAAATATGCCATCTCCTTGTGGAATTCAAATCTCCAACTGTTCAACTGGCATGGCCATCTCTGCAGTAACAACACATGCCGCAGATTGTGAGTTAACTTGAATTACATTTCAGATCTGGGGAGGGGAGGATGTCAGTGGGAGGTTTATGAACAGTATGCTCCGGCTCTTATGTTGTTATAACCAGATGGCTTCAGCTGTATCATTTACAATAAAAAAAAAACAAACAAAAAAAAAAGAGTGAAGTTGACAAATAAATCATTAATTCACCTGCAACTGGAACAATCTGAACAAGTCACCTCCTTCGCAGATCTCATTTCAGCCCTTCCACGACAGTGTCCCCTGAACCGCACCTGGCTCTGCAGGAAGGGCTGGGACAGACCAGCCCCACAACAGATTATTTTCCTGCAGGTATCTCCCCATCCTCCGGGGAAGGAGGCTGCCAAATCTGTCTCGCTTTCCTGTAAATACCTTCCCAAAAAAGGGCGAGGACAGACCCAGGGCAAGGCTGCACGAGGGACACTCCTCAAACAGCTGGTGACATGGTGACGAGGATAAGAGCTCTGGGTCAGGTTTGCCCATTCCAGTAAACAGCGCAGTTACTGCAGCACCATCAGACGTCTCTGTGCCACACAGACGACTTCTGCAATTACCTGGTGATGAACTTTTCATGGCTGTGTGCAATTATAAACTGGAAATGCTGGGTGTGAGTTCTGACAGGGCAGGGGGGAGGATCTCGTTATGGCTAAACGCGTTGCTTACCTACAAGGAAACGCGCGCTGAATCCAATCTAAAAGGAATTAGTGGCGTTCAAGCAATAGATGTAAAATGAGAATTTGTGAACCACGTAAAAGGAAGGTTTTACTATACAGACAGTTGTGTGTTTATGATGAGAGCCTCGGTGGGGGAACACAAAAAGGGGCAGAGACCCTCTCATGAGTCATCGTTTGATAAAAATAGACAGCAGGCAGATTAAACACACGAGCGTACGAACGGAATTCTCCTTTGAACAAGGGACAAGAGGCTGTAAGAGAAAGTATGGTAACAGAATGAAAAACGAGAGATAACAGATACCTCATCTATTTTCTAGACAAAACAGAGTTATTCTCCGTAATCCACTACGTGCCCTACCTGACCATCTTAAGGTCAGATCAATTTGCCACTGCCCTGGCACTGCGCGCTTCAATCTCACCTCCCTGGAGATTTGGGGCTAACGAGGAGATAAACGGATGGTGTCTGTCCCACTCAGACATCCCGCGTTGCACCTCGATGTTACAAACCAGATGGGCTACTACACTATTCCCTCTTCCCACAGTTAAACAGGGGCAGCTAGAAGGAAGGACCACGGGTCAGCTTCACACAGCTATTATGAAACCAACGCTCTCCAGTGTTTTGGTAATACCTGGTAGGAGAAATAAAAGAGGTTTGCATTGCAATTTTGTGTGCAGCTTTCCTTAATAAATTCCATCTGAGTTCCAGGAACAGCATGTCACTATCGGTACGTGGCAGCAAGCTGAAACCAAACCTTTTGGGAGCCAGTTTTAAACTGGCAAGTCTTAAAAATAAAACAAGAAAAAAAAGACAACAGATACCACACAGTACAAAATAGTAATTATTTATATTTTCAAAAAGAAAAAAAAAGTTAACAGCTATTTTGAAACTTCTTCCTTGTAAGAAGAGTGACTAATAGAAAGGAACAGGACTGGCTCCTATACAGTCGGCAAGTCAGGTACAAACAGTTGTTAAGAATCATTTAGCAACTCAGAACAGGGACTTTTGACATAATGTTCATGAACAATAAAATTTCTTTTTTTTTTTTCTTTTTTTCCTTAAAAAAAGGGGAAGGAGGGAAATAAAGCAGGGAAAAATGCCAAAAACATTTTCCACAATATCTAAAAACAGTAACCGTTGTTCTTGTCAGACAGCACACTCCACCATCAAGGATTTTCTAGTCCTTTCAAAACCAATACAGACGTGCCAAAGGCTGCCTTCAATCTATTCACACCCTCCAGAACACACAGCCTTTCACTGTCCCCTTTCACTTCAACCTGTCATTTTATAAAAGGTGTTTTTTTCTTTTTATTTATTTTTTTTTCCCCGCAATTAACATACAAGTGCTACTAACAGAGAAACTGATCTTCTTGTTGCTGGATGGCAATAAGGAGTTACACAAACGTCCAGTTTTTAGCTCAGTTGGAAGGACTTAAATTCTCTTTTTTGATATAAATACTACTGGAGCTCCCATCATGTACTTCCTTTCCAGAACCTCACTGGAAATCCCTTTCAACCCTCCAACGCTCTCCAAAGCTAAAATGTCCTCTTGCTCCAGGCATCTGACGATTTGTTCTCTGCTGCCAGACGCAGAGACGTTGTTTTCCCCAGTACCACTGCTGGGTTATTCCGACGTGGGTCGGCGCCTAAAACCGAACCCTGTACTTAATTGACTCAGCCAAGTCGAAGGGAACACACAGACGATTCAGCAACAGGGATTCATTAGGTTTAACAGCCCCAGAGCCCCAGGCCCACCCTCCCCCCTCTCCCCAAGTTACTTGGTGCTGTTTTAAAAAGTCTGGGTGTCACGAAGCAGTCTCTTCCCCCCAACAACAGAGTAAAAGCTCCACAGATTTCGCTGTCTACCTGGTCAAGGCTACAGCAGCAATAGCCAATGCTGCTTCCAGAAAAACATGGGGTGGTGTGACAAACAGGACTTTAGGATTGCTTCAGTCGCTTCCGTGGGGGTCCCAGAAAGGGACACTGTGCAGAGGCCAAAGAGCGATATGCCTCCGCCACCAAATGGGGATGCGACACTACCATGGACTTCCAGCCTGATGTCTCCATGACGTCAGAAGCATGACTAGAAATAAGAGAGAATAAATCTGAAGTTATCAACTGGGGATAAAAAAGGATGAACTAAACAGATTATTTTCCCATGCCCGAGCAAGCTGGCGTTTTTAGCGTACTGTTTTGGGATCACTCTGGAATTACGTTAGGTATCTTTTGCGAAGATCACAAGCTTTGGCTCTGCTGACACAACCGCACCCTGGACAGTCCTTCAACTTCAGATGAAAAGCTTAAACATACATGATCCTAGGTGGGTAACAGCAGGCACATAAGCTTGTCTACCCCAGCTACTCAGCACAGAAGCACTTTAAATCTATATAGAAAGTACTGAGAAAAACTGTGTTAAACTGACAAATAGGACTAAAAATGTTGCCAGACATCACAGTAGCTGGCAGTCATTTTACATCTACTGAAAAGTCTGTTATATCATGAGCTGCAAACAGGCCCTCAATAGCAGGAACTACCCGATATTCTACTGCCTAAAAGTACTTGTGATCTCAGATCCTTGAGCAACAGTAAACTCACTAGTTAATGAAGTCCACCGCTTGAGTTTTGAGTTGATCAGCGCTATGGAGGTCAGCCAGAATGAGGATATCAGCTGCATTTTCCACAGACAGGTTACTGCACAGTGCATCCTCACACATCACCTTCAGACGTTCCAGAGCGTACTGCAAAATACAAACCACAGGACAGTCACAAAGAAGAAAACACCCGCACCAGGCCTGTTGTGAAGCCTTACTTGTGCTCCTTCACTCTGCAGCAACTATTCTACGATGCTGACCAGACCTCTTTGCTTTGCTATACGCATCTGAACTGTACTCAAAAGAAACCGTGACCAGCAAAAAAAGGAGAATCATGAAGAGCCCACCCTGACAAAAGCAATGGAGAGGAAACATACCCACCACAGCTCTCATCCCGGCCTTTCTGCGTGACAGGCTGACTGGTGCTGTGCTCATGCTTTGAAATGAGAATTGCAGGTCACCTGTAACACTTACTATCCCCGTCATTTCAGGGCACAGAACGCTAAAGCCACATCTTTATTCTCACTCTATTGATGGCATGACAGTATTATCCAGGTTCACTGGGAAAACCTATCGAACAGCGAATGCTCCACAGGTGTTCCAGGGATGTTTAGGCAGTTTTCACTCGATTTCTTTGCCATTAATGACTTGCACATTAAGATCAGCCTTGCTCAAGTGCATGCTACTAGTTTAATACTCAAATGTTAAACAAATGCCCCTGATTTCTTGAGGCTATCCAGCTGGAAACAAAACATCACAGCCCATCTGTAATGCCCTGGCAAAAGCCCTACTCCAACTTTACATTCTCAGTCTGAGAGTTTCTAACATTCAATTGTGCATTTTGATTTTTTAGATACATAGGGCTAGGCCACGTCAAGGGGTTGCAAAATTCAAAGAATATGCTTAGAAGAGTGCTGTCTAATAAATTTCACACTCTCCTTTCTCCAGCACTTTGGTCAGTATTGAAACGTCCAGATGCACCCAAGACTTTCAAAAGCAAGACAGTGGTCTTGGGCAGACTTCAGAAAGGTCAATACTCAGAAAAATTTAAGGCACTTGTTATCAAGAAACAAAACGCAAACCCCAAACCTCAGTCTTTTCAAGGATCATGGCTGGGAACTGTGAGAGTGAGATACTTCTGAAAATCTTGGTATGTGTGATTTGATTATGGGGTTTGCAGCAATTTGGATTAAACCAACTGAATATTTCTTAATATTCTAGATCCCACGATTACATTTCACAGGGATTAAGAGAGTAATCAATTGTAATGCAGTTCTTTTATGAGTAATAACGTTAGCACTACATAAATTGTCCTAAAGATTCAACACAGTTACGTCTCCTTCACATTATGAGTTAAAAAAAATTAAAAAAAACTTAAGATTTTTTTTTTTTAATCTGACAGATAACCGCATTTGAGAGTATCTTTCGTATTTTTATAAGGCTTTTTTGGACAACTTGGAGATGCCATGCTATACAAGTTCTTCAGTATGTGAGGCCACATTTGGAAAATGCCAGCAGATTTGTAAGGACTGCTCTGTCATCCTCAACAGAGCGCTGCTAACAAGGTCCTCTGCATGATGGCAGGAGCGCCTGCCATATGATAGGCACTATTACTATAAATTGACTTAATATTCTGATTGAGATTTTCATCCCATTATGATTAAATTTAAATGAATAATTTTAGATTATAAAAACATTTTTTTCACTGAAGTCCTGGTGATAACAATTACTTCAACTGAGGCATGGCACTCATAACTGGGACAGTTTTCTCCCACCAGAACATCTGAGAAAGCAAATCAAATTTATTTGCTTAATCTGTATCAATAACTAAAACAGTTTCAAACAAGGGGCAAGCCATTAGTTTATATTATTGTCTGTCAGTAGCTTAAAATGCAGCAAACGAAGCTTAAAATTATTCCTTTTGTAAATTGAATATTCTCCTCCATCCATGTACAATTTTTATTTTGATTTTCACTGCAAATAGCTCAGCTTCTAATTACATAGTTGGGCAAAAGTAGCCATTCTAGTCTCTCAGGTACCAAGATTTCCTCTTCCCCCCTTTCTTAATTACACTTTAAAAAACCTCCCTACCTAACTGCACACCTACCCAAGAGGCTGAAATAGTATCTCTTGGGTTGAGAAGACGTGCTTTGTTTTGGTTTTGGTCTAATCATATATTTTCCCCAAGAGACAGGAGGAACTAAGAAGAAGCTGTTTCAGTCTCTTGAGTAAATATTAGATGTTTTATGTGCTTTCATGAAAGGTTTTTTATTTCTGCTTTTAAAAGACACACAATGAGTTTAAAAGGAAAAAAACCCTACATTAAAAGCCAGGAAACAGAAAGTTAAAGCCTACTCTGTCCTTAATGTACTGCTTCTTACTTACACTTGTCTCAGTTAAAGATGGTATGTGAGCTCTCAATCAATACTCTTTAAATATTCAATAAAATATGTGGCAATGATTATAATCAGGCCAAGAATCTCCTTGCATTATTTCCCATTTTAATTCTAGTTGCAGTGGCTTAATAATGGCATATGGAGCATTTCACCTCTAAAGCAGCATTTTTGATGAAGCCCAGGTCTGCAGTGACAGGGAATTTGATGGCTGTGTGGTGGTTGCGTGGAACAAGGTTACATGCATCCACATCTTAAAATCCACCACCCTAACTGGCACCCACAAGAGAATCCAAGGACTGAAGAAGCATGGAGACTGAACTACGGTCTCACCCCCAGAGGTGGTCCCTCCAGGTCAGAGTTGAGGCACATTGGCAGGGCAGTGGGGAGAATCTTGCACTGCTGCTACCCGTGCTGAACCTGTTCCATGGATAAATTCAGGACTTTAGTCTCCAGTGCTGTCAAACTGGCATCTTTCACCAGCACTAAGTTCACTTTTAAGAGAAGAAAAAAAAAAAGAAAAAGGAAATAAAACTTCAGTTATATATTACGAATTTTCACTGGTTCATACGGCTCAGCAGAGCACTCTCTTCTGTCCTTGGTGCTGCAAAGGGAAGGAGGCAGCGGCTGCCCGGCTGGCAAGGCCACAGCGCTGCGCCCGCTACACGGGGACTACCGGCAGCCTTCCAGTCAGACCGTCCCCGACACCTCCCTGGCAAGGACCCTGCAAAACCACAGATGGGTTAGGCAACAGGGCTTCCTCCAGTGCACCCCTTCTCTCCATAAACACCAGGGACTGCCACTGCAAAAAGAAAATAAACAACAGGACCTTTCCACTCTTGGCTATCCATGGCTTTAGAGCATTGCTTGGAGCTGCTGGTACTAGCCAGACCAGAAGGAGAAGCAGGCCCTGTTTGCCAAGACAGAACACTACTTTTGAGATTTGGTAATCATCACACAAAAAATACATCGCCAGGTCCACCTTGACATTTTCTTCTCACCCCCAGCTCTTACGATAGATTATGGTGAATACAGATGTCCTCTGAAATTTTAAGAAAATGCTTAAAAAATGAGACAGCATGCTGAGACAGAAATTCCTGACTGTTATATGTAAAGATATTTATCTATACAGCTATAGGTATCTTATATGCATCTATACTACATCCAGGTTTACCTGTAAGCCACAATCAATTCAAAGAAACTGCCCAACCACAATGATCACATGAAAAGCTTACTGCAACAGTTTCCGAAGCATTGTGTAAAGCAAGGCACATGTCATTCCTGGTTCTCTGAACACCCCTAAATCCCAACTGTACCTTGTCAGCGGCTGCCAGCAAGTCATCAGCCATTTTGTCAAGATTTGGTGCCTTCCCCGTGTAAATAAAGCACATCATTTCCTTAAAAACTTCAGGCTCCACATCATTGATTTCAACCCGATTCTGTATCAGAAAAATAAAGATTATTAAGATCCTGACAAGACACCGAAGGCTTCCTTCTACCCAAGCTCTTTTAGCATTCAGAAATTTGCTACAGACTATGTAGAATGTGCACTAATTGCAAAAAAAAGGAAAGAAAAAAAAAAGATGTGGATGGAATAAGAAAAAATTCTAGAGTTGTATTTCACATTCTCTACTTCTCCCTATCCCACCCCAGACTTTTTCCCCAAGAGTAACAAAGGTAACAATTGCCTCCTTGATCCCTTTCTTCCTCCCTTCAGGGCAGCTGAAGCAGACACCTGCATCTAATGTGAGAAAAATAGTTAAAAGGTGACAACAGTCACAAACACTACCTAAGAAAGTTATCTGACCAGTGATGCTAAGAGTTGACTAGAGCGCTATTCACTTAGCCAGAGAAGTTCTTCCCTCCTTCAGGAACTCACCTTTTTACTCTCTTCCATCTCATGCTCAAACATGGCGCTGAAGACTGGAGAACGTGCTACGGCAGCGGGGAAAATAAAACATAGTTAGAGATGCTGTGTTACTCTGCAAGAGGAGCCAAGTGTAGCCTGCCCACATCTCAGAAGCTGTCCTGCTACTTAATGCTGGAAAAGTTCTCCCATAGCAGACAGGACAAATTCAGTACAACTGCTAAAGAAGTACAGGTTGTAACATAACGTAATGTGGCCGAAGTAGCTTCAAAGTGGGTATGGGAGAATCTCCTATGTCCTTTCAGAACAAGCCTGAAGAGTACACAGGTGGTAAGGTATGTTTCTTGACTTTACAAGAAGGTATTCCTCTGAAAATGTGGTCACTTCTCCTTACAAATGCTTTAGGAATACATTATAGGACACTACAGCCACAAAAGAATTCTCCTACCATCCTCACCATAGGAGGAGACAAACAACTAAAAATGCAGTAGATATTTCTTCTCTACTCGTAACGCTTCACAAAACAGTCTTTTACTACAGCTCTGCAGTTAAAAGAGCTGCAGAAGTCTCCGTTAAAGATGAAGTAGCTCAAAAAAACCCCCACTTGCCATCATGTCGTTGTATCCTATCCCGCTAAGGCCCATCCAGCTCAGTACCCACCTGCTAGTATGGCTTTGTGAGCCTGGAACTCCTGGCTTGCGACGCACAGACAGCAGTCCGTGAAGCGCGAGTTCTCCCAGAGTCCTCCCAACTCATCTGCCAAGCGGCACTCTGGTACTTTCACCATGTTCATTGTGTTCTGGCCGGAGATATTGACAGAGTCCTGCACCACACTCACCTGGAGGGAAACAGAAAGTAAACAACCCAAAAACTCAAAAACCCACACTGGAAAACTAGTCTCCCTAGAGGAAGTTTTTATTTCCAGGGCATCTGAAGGGAAATGCAAAGCAAAATCCACACCTTTCCAGCAGAATCACTGTATGATTAAAAATGTCTATATTTTAAGGTATTCTTTCTACCCTGCCTTAACCCTGTTCTCTGCTCCTCCAAAGGGTCTATCCCAAGCCCTAAACCACACCAGCAGATTTTCCTCTTGACCCCTAATTAACAGCATTTCTATGCAACGTAATCATAATTAGATGGTTTCCTAAGGAAGCAGAACCTTATTTTTCTGCTTGCAGAGGCATCATACCTGCCCTAGGTTTTTCCTTCTCTTTTTCCTTCCCTCCCCAATCAATAATGCAATACAGACAGCAGTTTAAATGAAAATGATGTATGCAGGGAGCTTCCAGAACCAAGCTCTGCATCCACACACGTATGCAAAGGCAGTGTCTGTCCCCTCCAAATGTCTGGCTGCTTCTGCTTCTAAATTTCTTACAGAGAGAAATCACATTCCCTCACATTACAAAATAAAATTTAACCCCCCCCCTAATCAGTATGTTTAAAAAAGCAGCTTGATGGCAAGTGATGAGGAGGACTGGGGAAAGGCAGGTAGATCCCTTATCACCTGGGCTGAAGCAGGCAGTCAGGCAGGGAGGAGGGCAGCCATGCTGGCTGATGAATAACCCACACAAAGGGAACCGTTAGGAGCCTATTCAGCACCGAACCATTATTGTTAAACACGCAGTAAATCCTAGGCCTTCTACAGCAGACTCTAATTAGAAAAGATCAGAGTGACTAATACTACCCTGCTCTAACAAAGAATAAAGGAAGGAGCTGATTGGCAGGGAAGCCAACGTGAGATTGTGAGATTATTTCCTGGATTTGCTGTCAAATCCAAGTTAAATTTCAGTTCTATTAATAACCAAGGGCCGAAGAAAAGCAATGGACAGCAAAGGAAGCTTTACAGTGATGTAAAAGGAGAATTATGAAGTAAGACAGATGACAGACGCATCTTCTAAGGAAAAAAAACTGCTGACAGCACATACCCCAACTCTTGAGAAACCTCCAGTGGGTTCCTGATGGCAGACACATATTGTATAAACTATACAACACTCAAAATCAAACAAATACCAGATGCTGCTTGTCAAAGGACACTAATAATTAGCCAGAGCAAACGGGAGGAAGCCAATATTCTTTGTGATTCATTTCACAGCTACAAAATCTTTTTGCCCTGTGACATCTAGACCAGCAACAGGGACTCATGGATGGATGACAACTCATTAGATTAATTAAAAAGGAATTCTAAGATGTAGATCCCTTGCTGGAGTCCAATACTGATCACAGACCAGCCAAGAAAAAAAAATAAAATTGTGAACCGTGTCTCAAATCAACAAATAAATCCTCTTCATATACAGAAGAAAGTCAGTTACTGCCATGGCAATCTACTCCATGGCTTTGACACAAGGAGTTCAGACTTGTCGATTCCAAGCAGTGACCAGCCTTAGAGGTCAAAATAGAGAAGGTTTTGTTTAAGCTATTTTCAGCATCTTAGCAAGGGAACCAATGCTACCTAGCTCAGGAGAGAGCTATTAGCATAACTTTGGGAAGACCATTGGTTTTGGAGATTTACCAGAATTATATTTACCTATTAATTTAAACAGCAAAAAGTGATGCAGTTGGGATATGAACAATCAACCCTACCTGCAAAACAGAGGCTGAAAAATCCCCAAACTGACAACCAAACGAGGTCAGATGTGAAATGCTTGACAAGGAACATCATTGCATCATTCTCTAGCTCAACAGCACTTTCAGCAAGATATTATCCATGTTCAGCACCAGACACGAGCAGAGAGCAAAAGGCTTTTTCCTTTCAACCTTAATAAAGCAACAAGAAGGTGCAGCAGAGACACTCAGCAACCTTCTGGTCTACAGAAAACTCCAACACACCTCCACAGAACGAGCATCTCACCATCCAGTACTGCTAACTCCTTAGACAGTTTTTACACACAAAACACGCTTGCTGAAAGTACGGATGTGAGCAGTGTCACTTGGCACCTGGGTCCAGCAGGGAAGCATTAGGAGAGCATATGGCACACTGGCTTCCATGCTAAGAGACTTACAAGCTCAGGGAAGAAAAAGAAAAAGAAAAAAAAACTAGCTGGGGGGGAAACCCAAAACCAAGCTGCAGAAAGTTGCAAAACCAAGCTGCAAAACCTTCCCCTCTGATATCACTAAACTGAAGATTTCCTATATGCTAGACTGTAGAACAAACTGAAAGAGAAAACAGAAGGTATCAAGGGCAGGTGAAGCCAGTAACAAGTTTTCTCTTCATCCAGAATAAACAAAAACACTGAGCTGAAGCTTTGGAAGGGAGTAATTCAGTAAAGAGTGGACTGACTTGAGTTAGTACTGGTTGCCAAGACTACTGGTGCATCTCAGGTTTATCTACATCCCACCTCGCAAATTCCCTTCTCAGACATTATTTTTTGAGTCTCACTCCACAATTTTAAGTTTTCTGGTTCTTTTATAATCAAGGAAAAAGTAGTTGCCAGACCTACAGAGGTGTCATCCAAGACACCGTCCTCTTCTCTCTCCATATTGCTACAAGAGTCAAACGAAGGGCTCCTTCCACAATAATTTAAGCTACTGATGGAGTACACATCCTCTAGGAGATGTTTGGTAATTGCAATATATGCATGTTTATGATAACCAAACAAAACTACAAAAAAAACCCCAACACAAACCCACAGCTGTCAAACAACTCCTGAAAGAAAACACAGCAAAAGAAAAGACTCCCATAAAAAACACTGCGGGAGATCCAAAGAGAGAACAACTTGTTCTACCTGTCTTCTGGCAAAAATCACAGCTACAGGAGGTATTTTGCAGTTAAAAAGACAATGGAAATAAGGCAGCAGAAGCTCTGAAGACACTAAATTAGAGAGTTTAAATTTGCTCATTAAGGTTTCTAAACTTAAATATCTAGTTCCAGAAATAACGGTCTGCATCTTTGTCTGAAATTAGTCTTAGTGAAATAATAATTTTGTAAGCAGTTGCAGAAAAATACAAACACAATGAACAGAAAATTGTGGTTACTATAAAATTCATTTATCGTAAATTTTGCTTAAATTTTTCTTTCTGCTGGCTGTATAGACATACTTAGGAAAATAAAGAAAACTCTTCTTTATTCAGTAGGCAAGTAACAGGCGGGCCAGTTTCCACCACAGAGCTAGAACTGGTGATTATCCCAAGTGAGTTTCAAATTAAGAAGTACAAACAGATGGATGATAATACTAAACCAGAAGTGAAACGATAATCAAACATGCTTAATTCCTACCATCATCACAGGTAAAAGACAAATATAAAGTAACAAAAAATAAATGGAAGTGAAACGCAATGAATCACACACAGAAAAAGGCACCAGCCACACAGGCGTGCGCACACACACACAAATAAAATCTAAGTGCCATACAAACATCCAGTATTTCTCCTGACACCTGTGACTCCTTAAAAGCAACTGTGAAAACTAAGGTCACATCTACCTTAAGCTAATGGAACTGCTGTTCTTTGAGCTGCACAGGAAAACTTACCTCACAGAAGAGAGTGAGTTTGTCATCTGGAAGAAGTCCATTGGCCTCATCCAGAAGAAAGTCTCTTCTAATAAATTTTTTGAATCCCCAGTCTTTGCCTTGTACAAATCGATACGCTCGCTGGCTCTCTGAAAGAAAGATACGGTGCTTCAAACCCCAGCTGAGTGACTCGCTTGATCAAACAGCAAAAGCCAAACAACTGACCCCATCAGACAGAAAGAGTTTTTACACACCCATCGCTTTTGTTTCTTCTCCTTTAGCATTCAAGATGGAGAATTTGAACTTTGCTCGAACTTCGCTTTTTGGACAGCTCACCAGCAGCAGATAGAGGGACAGATAATCTTTACTTTCTTCATCCAAGCCTTTAGGGTTCACACGTAAACACCTGTGGAAGCAGGCATCTGAATGAGATGTCAGGAACAGTTTTCGGCAGGTCATTCATAGCCTTCAAAGAAAGGGTATTGTCGAATTTTCACAATAAAACGTCCAGCAAACAACTTCTGTTTAACAGCCACTGAACCACAAGGAAATAACAGTCAGGTAAATAGAGCAGAACTGCGTGATACAGTCAGCCTCACGCTACATCTCCAAGACAGATAATAATATACAGGCAGCAACTATGGGCAAAGCAATGCAAAAAAAACAGAGAGGAGAAGAGGAAGGTATGGTTTAAATTACTGAAAAGCACCCTGGATGTCAACTTTCATAAAAGGAAAGTGAAAGAAATAGCAGAATGGAGGCAATAGATTCGAGGAAGTGCAGCAAATCCAGAGAAACGGCAGGTAAAATTCCACAGAAAGCAGCTGAAAGGAAAAGCGGATTTCTGGAAGGCTGTTACTTTCTCAAAAACATAACACTAGGGCAAAAAGAGAAAACTACTCGTTTGTGAAGAAAAGGTCGTACGTGCAGGAAGAGGCTAACTCATAAGCACTTCCATGACCTGAAACTTGACACAGAATCTAACAAGAAGCAAGAACTAGGCCAAATGACTAACAGCTCCAACACACAAGGACAAAAAATCAGAAAGATGTAGACATTGGAACGAGATCTGACTAGCAAAGGTGACAAAGGTAAGTAATTTAATAACAAAAAGCAGTCCAAGGAAAGCACAGGTCTGCCACCCAAAGGAAGGGAACACAAATTGTATCACACACACACACTAAATTATTTAGTGGTAATTTGCTGCAATCGATACTAAGGAGGTTTGAAGAAAAATGCTGGAACGCTTAACAAACAGCAGCAGCAAGGGGTAAAATAAGGAACCAGGTGTCCATGGATCTACCAGGTCAGACACAACTCACGATAGATACTCAGAGTGGACTTTGACCGGAATGTGTTACTGGAAATTACTTGAGAACTCAGGGAAGAGAAGAAAGGTTTCAAAGGAAAGGAAAATGATAAAAATCATGTTAAGAAGCAGAAACTCCTGGGCAGGAGTTACAGAACACAGAGATGATGGAAGTAACAATGTTAAGTCTCCAAATTCACAAAAAAGCTGCCATGAAGAGAAAGGTAATACCGGTGCAACAGTCTCAAATTGCAGGATTTTGAGTGCAGACAAAAATTATCTTTTTAACAACACGGAGGAACTGAGACTGGGAGGCTAAAATAGGACTTGAATATACTGGCTGTGGACTCTCATTGGTTTATAAGAACTTATTAAGATAAACATCAGTCAAAAAATAAAAACCTTAAGACATTAATATTCCTCCACAGCACGTCTCTGCTTCAAGGCAGGAGGTAGTCTCCCTTCCAGCTACAGCTTCTATTATTTCTAATGTTTCCCATTACCAGAGAAACACTGCGAACAGTGAGATCCTCACATTTGCTGTGTGTGTCCAAACACTATGCTGAAGCCACAGGATTTTCTCCCTGTGCACACTGCACATCCAAGGAAGCAAGAATCCGTGCACAGTACAAGTATTTTTTTATACATTACTTCTGTGATAGAACCCCAAATTCTTTGACACAGTTGTACAAACAGAGTGAACCTCTCTGCTCTATTTCTTACCATTTGAGTTTATCGTTGGCTCCAGATGAAAAGGTTGAGCTTTTGATGACCTCACCCATTTCTTCTCGGCAGAAGCTAAAGTTGTTTATGGTCCACATGTAGGAAAACTTCACCACTTTGATCTTCAAACAGAGGATAAAAGGCAGTTTAGGGTCATGCCCATTCCCCCAGCCACCTTACAGGCAAAAACTGAAAACCTGGAAGTTTTACTGAGTCACTGGAGTGACAAATAACCCGCAAGCACAAGACAACAGAGTCTGGAAACGGCGGCAGTGGCAGCTGGAACACTCCAGCTTCTCCAACTGCCTCCTCCAAAGCTCTGCCAAGGGCAGAGGGCAATGTTCAGCTGTTGTCTTGGTGAATGCTCATTGTTAGCAAGCATGACATCGCCTGAAAATCCAGTCCCTAAACTTGTTTTGAATAAATTTCTTACCACAGGTGCCAATTGTGTTACATCAAGAATATTTCAGTACGGCGTGGACTTACCTGGGTGTAGCACCAGCTCTCTGCTACAGGTCCACTCGACATTTCTGCCGGAGGAGGAGGACTCGGCACCCTTGACATCGCCAGTTTGAAGATTAAACAGAATTTCACAACTCAGCAGAAGAAATTTATAACTGATCTTCACCCTGTCAGTCCCCAAAAAGAGAAAAAAACCCCAAAATCAAGAACAAAGGAAAAAAACTTCAGAAGTGCTGTTAAATCTCATGGGACAGAAGTTAAAGCCATCAAGTTCTCTCCCTCCCCCATAGCACCTTCAAAACACGATGTTACATTTAAACATTTCAAAGTGTTACCATATGTTTTCTGAAGAGAGGATACACCACCTCCATTCATTCTTTCAATCTGCAGCTCTTTACAGGAATAAGCCTTGCATATTATTTCCCTAAAGGAGTCCAAGACTCAAACAGGGACCCCCACTTGACTTGGGATTTACTACTTTACCCTGAGGCCACCATTTCAACTCTCCTCTTACTCCCTATTTTCATTTAGAGAGGCTCAATCTATCAGCGATCAGATTTGACAAATTAAATTCTTAATCTGAAAAAGCTACAGGTAGCAACATGCAACCCAAACTCAAGAGCAAAACAAACCCCTAGGTTCAGAGCGACTCCGCTAACATCAACAGAATAATTTTGTATAGATTAAACCTTCTCCTGAAGCCTTACTATTAGGGAAGGTGTTGGTAATGATTTCTCTACTTCAAACCGAATCCCTTTGGCCAGAGGGAAGTTCTCTTTGCCTTTATATGCTAGCGAAGTCCCAACTTCCAAGTGCCAAGTCAAACTGTCATCTGCAGAGAACATACGGGGTTAAAACCACTGCAGCACACCTGAATGAACACACAGGCACAACTGCTAAAACAGGCATCTAGTTATCAGCAGGAAGGTTTTAAAACAAAATAACCCACCCATCACTGACTTCTGAGTCCTGATCCCTAAGGCAGATACACAAAACATCTTCAAAGATGAGCTCGGAAACTAGGATTCATAACTTTGGCAGACATAAAAGCATCACATGCCTTACAGTTTAGCTTGCTGCTGAACACTTTCTGGTTTGCAGGTGGTGTTTATCTGCCTTCCTCTTACTGCACGGGACAGCCAGTGAACCACAAGCACTCCACTGCTGTTAGTTTTCAACTCAAAAGGATAAAAAAAGGGTGAGTAAATGACATAAAACTGTTATCTTGCAATATGAATTGCTTTAAATATAAAGGCTGATATTGAGGTTGGTTGGGGAAGAAAGATAAAGCACAGGCTCTTGAAGAAGGTGGAGTCATTAGTTCTTGAAATGGTACAAAGCACAGAGAATATATACCTAAAACCCGCACACCTCAAAACAACAGGATAATGTTTACAATAAGCACATAAACTTACGTGCAGGTAATTTCCCCCAAACTGCTTTAAACATAATTTGGAGTGTTTAAGCGCCGTCGCAGGGCAGGTCTGGATTTGACTGCAGGCTCCAGCTGCAGCCCAGACCTCTCCCAAGCCAGGCTCACATCAGCCTCCGCTCCAGTTTACAGCTGCGCACCCAGGTTTGGAGTGCTGTGCACCGTCAGAAAGTACCTGGAAATCCTGGTACACAGGCATTACCTAACTGTAAAGCAAGGGTGGGGGTTTTTAGGTTTAATTTTGTTTAAAAACGCACAAGCGAGCCCATGTAAAAACTGAAAAAGAGATACTGGCTATCACGAGCAAAGAAACAAGCTGCAGAGATGCACACTTAACTTGATGGAAATTTATTTGCCGAAGCAAAGCTCAGGGGTAAAAAGCTAACTCCGTAAGATCTGAACTGCAGACAACCAGCACTAACGTAAAAGCAAGTGCTCTCAGATCAAACTGCTTTACAAACTTTTGCATTTGCAGTCTGTGCTCTGCATGGAACGTTTTACAAAGAAAGGGACATCAATATGCACTTCAGGTACTCGCTGCAGGTTTTATTACATTAAAAACTTAACATCACCACAATTCCTCCAAAGAAATTCAATTATACCACTCTGTGTCATTCAAATTAAGCCAAAATTAGCAGACACCACTTCTGAATACTTAGCAAACTGCCCTTCCATGGGCAACATTCAGTCTTGCCTCCGAGGTCATCATCACTTCACTGTCTCTGTCTCAGGTCTTTGGGGGACAGACAAAACCTAAAATCCCAGCACAGGCAGCAAGAACCACCTCTCCTCTCCGTGGCTGGGGAAGGGATGACTTTTTGCTGGTTTCAGTCTAAGGGCAGGAGAGACCCAAACTTTTCCTTCCCCTTGGGATCCACAGAAGCACGATTCAACTCCACCTAAACTGTTACATTGTTCTGTTCACAGCTAGTTTTAATCTACATTATTCTATTCTGTATTTCAACAGGATTTTGAGATGTACCTAAATATTACCTCCATCTTACATATGCAAGGAAGTTTTAGAACGCTTCTGTGGTCTAAAGGCAAGATAAACGCATGAGCCTGAAATACACAGGCCTGTTTAATTTTCTCTGAGTAACTGTCACTTTCAGATGTTATATCCTTTCCTCCCAGATGGCTTGGATAGGCAGGTGGTAATAAAAGTTATGACAATGCGCTAATAGAATTGCTGCATGCCAGCGCATCATTCATCGTGCTTTTGAAATGGCCCAAAGGGGAGAAAGGTTCTAGATTTTAAAGATTTTCTACTATTTGGAAAATACTTTCAGTCTAGTATGTCAAAGCTTTCTACAGATGCTTTGTGAGGCAGTTAAATACAGTTTAAAAAAGATGTTAAACTGCAACATACCCCGAGCTCAATATAGCAATCAGCCATCAGATACCTGTCATCAAATGACATCACTCGTCCTTTTACTGCGGTGGCAAGTCATAATGGGAATAAACAGGTAACATCCATCACTGTCTTTCGCAAAAATTACCAGTAAGGAAAAGCTTGCAGCTTGGCCAGCTTAGCAAGCGCACAAACAGGAGAAGCACAGAAAAGGTCACTGAAATATATCCTTAGAAGTGCGCCGCAGAAACTGCCGTGTGTTCTTCCACCTTCAAATGCTGAATCGCTTTCTGGCACAGACCAATATTAAATGTATTTTAAAAGGAACCAGAGCTGACTCAAGGCGAAGTTTCTGAAATCAGCAGGGCACTCCGGTGTTTATTTCCTCATGAGCACTTAATACTTTGCCAGTTCACACTTCTTCACTAGCAGTCCTGGCACCTCTGAACTAGGAGTGAATTAAAGAACGCTGCAGGCAGAGGTTTTAGGAAAACATTCTGTAAATAGTTTGGATATCAGAATTCCTTCTGGCCAGGAGAAGCACAGACAAACTTGAAGGTACAGGCGTGAATGTCGAGTCACAGGAAACAAAATACAAAATATTATCTTACAGACCCCTGGGAGCCCACATACAGGCCGAGTCTCTTACTTCCTTGGATATAAATAACAGTACTTGTCTCTGGAGGTGATTAAGATTATAGTTAAGAAAAAGAATAATTCTCACCTCATTCACAACCACTTCCAGATGAAGATATTTTATCTAAGAACAGAGCCAGATCAGACCTTTGCGAGTTGCCGCCTTGGCCTCATAATTACCTCCTGACTTCACAGCTGTACCAGATATCTCAGCTCAAAACTTCACCTACTGTAGGAATCAACAGTCAAAACTATTCAGTGAGCAGCAGACTTGACTGGAGAGAGGTGGGAACTCAAGAAATAATTCTAGAAGAGGCCTGAGATTTACTAGACTTTTGCTGAACAGCCCGTCAATTTCTACCTCTTCTCAAGATAAACCAACTACCTTTCAAGAAATACGTATTTACATTAGAAATTTCCAAGTCTACTCCCTTTCAGTAAGCATTATTCAGCAAAAGATAAGGTACCGGAGTCTGTAAAAGAAGTATATTTTTAATTAAGCATTTCAAGAACTGGGGTGGTTGCTTCTTGGACCAGCTACGTATCAAAGACTACCCAGGAACAGCACAAAGAAAAGGAGCAGGACAAAGATAACTGGAGCAATAAAACAAGGGGATGAGATATGGAAGCACAGGAAAAGACCATTATCTTCCCACATTCTTCAAAGCCTTGGAAAGGACAATGGAAGGTCTGAATTCTCTGCCATAAAGAAAGGAAAAGAAGGAAAAACAAAAAACAGCAAGTTAACTGAGAGAGCAAAGTGGGATGACACACTACCTAACTAGTGGATGAATAAAATGAGTAAGTTTTCAGATTTTGATGCGTACACTAAACAGGGCGTCAGATCACTCTTCCTACTTGGCATAGATCAAAAGAGAGCAACGATGGGCAACGCATTCACACAGCCCAGGCTAAGGACTGCGAAGCAACATCGACTGCAACTGTCTCCCCTGTGGCAGGAAACCTTGTCTGGCTACACAGGCAGGTTGAAAGTCAGGCGCAGTGAACTCCAAAGGTTACACAAAGTTGCCTAATCATTAACACGGTGGTGTGGAAGAGACTGCACCAAGGTAGCAAACAACCTGCACCAATAAAAACAGATGGAGATTAGACATCAACGCTTTTGGAAGATGAAAGTGACCCATTCCAGAAAGCCACGTCTTGAAAGGAAGCGTGGTTTACACAAGCGAGAAGCTTATCTTTCTGGCACAAAGAAATGTGAACAGTTCTACAGCTAGACGCCAATCACCACCTGGAAAAAAACAAACTATAAAGGAGTAACTGAATGGGATATATACAGATTAACTGTACCGGAGTTAGAGAGAACAATAATTCATGCCAAAAAAGTGGTCAGTGAATTAAGCCTGAACACTTTCTAAAAACCAGGAGCATGTGCATTACACCTTCCTCTTGTGTTCTTAAATCCAAAAAAAGATCTAACTTCACCTGTATGCTGTTGAGTGCCACAAAAACTGCTGAGCTCAAAATGACACAGAGAGTTTCATTTCCAAATCTTCAGTCAGGAGAGAACAGACTGGAAAATCCAACACACTCACAGCAGGGAGATATAAGGAATGAACTGGCATCCAGTGAAAGATGCATACTAGGCTAAAGGACCTGCAGCTTCTCACCTTGGAGGCAGAAACCCTGGTTTCCTTAAAATACAGCGCAAATGATCTCTGC